CCTAAACCCTAAATTGTAGTTTCCATTTTCTTTTCCACTATCTCAATATACCCTCAATATACTCCCCCTTAAGTAAATGGAATCTACTTACTTCAGGGGAATTTATGTCCTATACCGACGTTGAACGCCGAAAAATTGCGGACCCACGGCGCTCCGCTGCCGTGGCTGCAGCCATTTTAACCCTAAACCTTAGGGTTTAGGATTTAGGGTTTAGGAGTTCAGGATTTAGGGTCCTTAGGATCCTTGGGGTTTAGGGTTTGGGGTCCTTAGGGTTTAGGGTTTAGTTTTAGGGGAATGTAGACTCATGATTCATAAGCGCCCTCCTTTTAAGGACCTTAGCTTTAGGATCCGTATTATGAACCCTATTAAGGGGAAGGGTTTAGGGTTCAGGGTTTTAATCAGTGGTCTGGGTTACAGCCTACTACGCTTTTGCAACAAACGCCTCGCGGAGTGGGACGAGATGCATGTTATATACTGCCATGTCAGGATGGAAAAACTCAAAATATGGAGGGTTTAGGGCTATAAAAAGGTTATATAGGGATAATGGAAAAGAAAATGGAAACTACTACAAACCCTAAACTCGAAAGTCAAACATAGAGTATGCTAAATTTTGGCACAATTCGGGCTTTTTCAAACCCATTCCGTGGTTCGTCTCGTCCACGACATGTCGCGGATTTTTTATACAAAACTTCCGCGCGGGTGACTCCTACAAGAAGCTTGCCCTAAGAACTCCTGGACGCGTTACATTTTCGGGTTTAGAGTTTCCCTTGCAAATTACAGCATATTCTGACTCTTTTCCCCTGCTCACATTCCTTTGCGGCATTTGGTGTCGGAGAATCCTAGGTGGAGAGCCTCAAGGGGGACTCGCCTACACCTTGAATCCCGGTTGGGCTTGGGGGCTTGCTGATTGCCAAAAATCTGCACGCGACACCTTAAACCCTAAACCCTAAACCCTAAACCCTAAATAGTAGTTTCCATTTTCTTTTCCATTATTCCTATATAATCCCAAATAGTAGTTTCCATTTTCTTTTCCATTATTCCTATATAATCCCAATATAGCTATGGACCCCAAAAGTGCTCATCCCAGACCCTACATCTGGCCATCGCCTCGTACAGAGGCTATCCCCCAATAATGGAGAATCAAATGGAAAAGAAAATGGAAAATGAAATGGAAACTGGGGTTATATAGGGATTATAGGTAGAGGCTCCTCTCTTCTGCCCGCTTTTGGGGCGCGGATATCTGAACTCGAAACCTTCAACCCTTAACCCCCGGCCCCTAGCCCGTCGATCCTAAACCCTAAACCCTCAAGACTTAGCCATGGACTCTACTTGGGCGTCAGGGGCACTGAGTAAGCAGGCTACTATTGGGATAGGATAACTGTAGCTATTACATGGCCTATGTGGGTTAGAATTATAATTGCTCAGTACCTGTGACCCCCAGGTCATCCCTCAAAGGGCTTTACACTCTAAATCCGAAACTCTAAACCCCAAACCCTAAATCCTAAACCCCAAGTCCTAAATCCCAAACCCTAAACCCCAAGTCCTAAACCCTAAACCCCAAACCATAGATCCCAAACCTAAATTGACACCCAACTCATGGCCTCCCCTTGCTTGGAGCAAGCGGTCCATCCCATATCAACCAGAAGGAGATTCCTTGGGCCGGATTCAAGGTGTAGGGTTGAGGGGTGGGTGGGGTTTAGGGGGAATTGGGGTTTAGGGTTGAGGGTTGAGAGTTTGGGGTTGGGGGTATGTGCTTTCGGGGTTTGAGGGTTTAAGGGCTTGGAGGTTTGGTGTTTGCATAGGTCTACAGGGCATCGATTGCACTACTCTCTTGTTGCGACATTTACTGTTATCCCCCATTGATTGGGCCTGATGTAGTCATCAAAAAACAACTCCAGCAATGAACCAACTCGGGACATCCGGCAATGACTCCTTCAACCGACCTTCCAGCCATTTCGCAACTTTAGCGGAGTAGTAATCCCCTGCCCCTGGTACTAAATATTCTTTGAATATTCCCGTCGCGGTCTACTGCAGTACCTTGGGAATATGCGATATTAGAAGGATTGAGGGTTCTGAATATCAGGGGCAAGTGACTAAGCAAGATCCTGGCACATGAGAAAGGACCCTGGCAAAACTGTATTGTTTTTCCTTGCAGGAATCTAAGCCCAACAGAGGCAGTGAAGCTAGATCTTGGTTCTAGAGATCTAGGGACCCGTTAAAAAAGCTATTTATGGGGATATATCGGGATATGTAGGGGTATATAGAAATAAATATATATGTATAAATCAGGGGCTCGTGGACCCTTCCCAAGGACATCAAAAACTTGCACCCGGGCCCTCGTTCAGAGATGAAGCTCAACCGCCGAACCCTAAACCCTAGAACTGTACACCTAAAACCGTGCGTCGTTCAAGCTATGCCCGTACGATTGAGATCTGGATATGTGGCAAAATTGCTGTGTTAAGGAATATACTGCGGTGACGATGGAAATCTTGCACTACAAAATGCATAAGGCATCACACTAGGAATTGCAAGATTTAGAGGTGTCGCAAGTGGTGCAAGATTTTCCTCCACCAACCCAAGTCACTGGGAGAGAAGAATCAAAGTCTTTGGCAGATACACATGGCAGTTTCCCAAAACTGGGGACCCCAATATCAACCCCAAAATACTATATTGGGGTTTGAAGGTGACGTCCAAAAAGATATCCCCAATGTTGGAAACCTCCCATGTCTCTTGCAGACCCTGTAAGGGTTGAGGATTTAGGGTCCAGGGCTCCAGCTTGTGAAGTTGACGTCCACTCGCAAGAAAGGCAGTGATTGAAACTCTCAGTGTTTAGGGCTTAGGGCTTAAAGGAGGAGATGTTTACAAGCATCATTGTGACAAGAATGATGGAAAAACAACTCTAAGACTCGAAGCGTTTCTTGAAAACGGGACCTTCTCTGCGTGGAAACTGCTTCTCGAATTACTCTGTAAATCCCCTAGTAGGGATCACATAAACCGTGTGTCACGCACACAGATGGTAGTTTCCCAAAGCCAAAGGGACCCCAATATAGACCCCAAAACGTGTTCATCCTCATTTTCGAGACCCCCAAAATGGCCCGCTGAATTTGGGGAAACTCTTCCATATTCCTATGCCCCTTGAAAGCTCAACTCCAACTGATTAACCTTGATAAGAGGCGTTTCCCAAAAGTAGGGGTACCTTTAGGGGCTTAGGGTTTCCCAAAATTGCGGCTAGACTTTGGGAGGTCCCTATAACAAGGACTATAATACTTTGGGGTCTATATGGGGGGGGTCCCGCTATGTAGGGACATGACCATAGGCGTAGGGCAAGAACACACTCTCAGCTAAGTGGCTTCTTTGGATAGGAGCCGATGACCCTGGTCAGCACTCTCACGGCAATGTCCTCCTCCTGAGTGTGGTTGATGATTTGGGTTCTTCTCAAAATTATGGGCCCCACCTGGTTATAGATTATACTAAGGCACCGAATATTTAGCGGTAGTAATATGGGATCCGAATTTTAGGAACTATCACCATAGACCCTACATAATTTTGAGAACAACCCATATCTCAGCTACCTTGTAATTTGGGTTCAAAGCCGAGGGTTTAGAGCGCGCCTGGGATTTTGACTTCAAACCTGTGATCTCAGCAATGTCTTGGGGTTCCAGGAAGCAAAACCTAGGAATTTCTTGCAAGGTCCTCCACAATCAAATGAAGGTTCTGGGTTCAGGCCAGCGGGAAGCGAGATTTTTGAAGTCTTCATAGTTACTCCCTGGGCCTTGTATTCAGGCTCAAAACAAGCTAGGTTATAAGGGTGTAAGGTTCACCATATACAGATTAAGCACATCCAGCTTTTCCTTAAAATTAGACTCCTACAGCAATTCCGCCTGCTGGCCCAAATATTGAAGCTTCCTGTACGATAGGACCTCCATGCATTTTCCACCTAAAGGATATGCTCACCTGCTAGAGGCCTAAGGAACCCTACACACGCAGACCACAAGCATATGGGACTTGGCCTCAATTGTACGACCGTGTTACAATAGGATCCCGGTCTGTGCACTAATCCTAAACCCTAAGGCCTGCACCTTAAATTTCCAAATCTCAGGGGTCGAAGCAGACCTCAAAACGGCGAAGCTTCTTGCAACGTGTTTGGGTTATATTAGGGATATGTAGGGGTTATATTAGCTGTTATATTGGGGTTATATTAGGTGCTTATACCCGCCTGGTACGGAGCCACTGGCCTCCCAGGCCTCAGGGCCTCCCCCGCTTCACTGCCCAAGAATTCCTGTGTTGTACCCCTGATATGATCCAATATTGCCCCTAGAATAATCAACCAAGATGGTCCCATAGGATTCATTTGAAGGGTCCCAAAAGGCAGGGGTACAACCAGAAATGCGCCCCCCCCCCCCCCCC